TTTTTCTTTAAATAAAATATGTGTTTATTAAATAATAAATATGTTAAACTATATGCTAGTAGTTATTATCTTCTTGTCCTTTAGTTGTTGTTGGTAAATGAATAGGTTTGTTGTGGGTTCATCTCCCCACGTTGTATGTTTTTGTTGATAAGCTTTTGACTATCAGTTTGCTTTCCTTTGATCTACAGTTGTTAGAAAGTTTTTATATGTTCTTTGTATATGCTTTAATTTCTTGCACGTTGGGCTCAATATTTTGTATTAGGTGCCTTGGAGTTTGCTAGATAGTTTGGTTCTTGTTGTTATCTAGTATCTCTTTGGTGATTATGTTGTCTTTTTGTTGGGCGCTATCTATTATATTGAGCACCTTGGGCTTCTTTGTCTGTTTAAGTAGTTTACATGTTGGATGCCTTTAACTTTTCTTTTTTAGGCTCCTGTCTTTGATATTCTGTGTTGGGTTATTGAATATATATGCTACTTTGTTGGGTGCCTTTAAGCTTTCTAAGCTATATTCTATGTTATTTCTCTTGGTGAACACGTTGGGCTCCTTTAAAGTATATTGGGCTATCTGGGATTTAAACTCTATTTTTGCCATAGGCAAAAATTCTAAAGTAGAGAAAGGTTTTGACTATCGATTTGAGATAAAATTGTGTTCAATACAAAGTATTTCTTTGTAGCAATTAATATCTTTTGAGATATCTAAGTTAAGGTTTTAATTTTTCAAGGTAAAAATTTAAGCAAAAATATCTAAAATAGAGGAAGATAAAAACTACTGTTATTTATACATTCGCGAAGGCTATGACTATTAAGCTATGACTAATAATAATAAATTCATTATCTTAATGATTTAACATAAACAGATTGTTCATCATTCGTTATCATTTCCAATTTCGGTGATCCGATTCAGCCAATCGATGACTGACGTCTATTTGTCACACATGTGATGCTGCCGGCAGATTTTCAAGATAACCAGACACACTGAGGTGTGACCGGGCCCTTAGCAGTGTTCTTTGGTTTTAGTTGTACAGGGAATTCTATTATTTTGGAGGTGGTACATATTCTTCACCTTCTTAGTAGTGACAATAATTAATTTCATTGATTCTTCGGATATTTCCTTTTTTGGTTGATTTGATAAGGATCTCTTGTCACCTTTCTTCTTTTGGAGTATTCTTCAACATATTTGGGAATGTAGTATTCAAATATTTTTGTCATATTATCAGTTAATGTTGGCGTGAACACTAAGTGTTTACATTCTTCATAATCTCGCCATTCAAAATTTGATTGTTTCAATGGTTCATTATTCTTGATTTGGTTTAATTCATTATATTGTACTCAATATAAATATGTTGGTATTTCTACCAAGTTAGCTTGATTAATTCTATCTTCTTGGTAATCTTTGTTTGTTGTTGGTTTTGTCCCTGACTTATTGTGCGAATAATAAGTATGTTTTAGGATTAATTGTATCCTTTCTATTATCAATTTCAAATTGATTTCTTCTTGTGCTTCTCTGATTGCACATGTTCTAAAGTCTTCGAATTCTTCTTTTTTGTCTTCACATGTTTGATATTGATTTTGGTATATCGTAGTGTTTATCCTTTGTGAGGTTAATATGTAATATGTTTCATTTCTTTTCATAAATAGTATTACAACAGTATATCCTTGTTCTTGTTCTATTGGTATTTCTGGCGGCATTATGGATAATTCTGTTAATGCTGTTTTATCATATAATTGATTTTCATTTTCAATTCTCGATCTTTTGATGAATATTGTTCTAAGCATGTCATTCAATCTTTTGTGATTGTTGTTGATTTCTATATAATTTGGATATATCATTTCAATCATTTCTTCATATCTGTCATATATTTCGACTAGATATTCTTCTGATATTTGTTTGTCAGATTCTCGCTTTCTTTCATTAAATCGTTTAAGCATTTCTTTCATTGTTGGTTTGAAGAATAATACATGATCATATTGGTTGATCAGGTTTTTACTAAGATCTTTTCTCATTTTTCTTAGTATTTCCATTTGTTGTACATCTTGGATATTATTCATCTCGAATATTATTGTATCTGGTACTGCTCTATCAAAGAGTATTATTGTTTTTTCATCGATTTTTCCTTCTAATTCCAATATCTTCAATTGTAATAAATTCTTTTGGAATTCTTGTAATATGAATATTTGTAATGCAAATGTATTTTGCTTTGCTGAGTACATCAGTTTTAATAATTCTGATGATTTTTCTGATATTGCTTTGAGTTGGAATACTTGGATTTCTTGCTTCTCAAAGAAGTCTTTTATTTCTAATAGTGCAGTTGTTTTTCCGACTGCTATTGCTCCTGTTGCTACTATTACTGTAGCTTTAATACTTTTAAAGCTTTCTTCTATTATTTGTTGTAATTCTTGATATATCATTTTATCAATGATACTATTTATACTCATTTCTCTTGCAATATCTTCAAATTGTTTAGATTCTTTCTTTTTATTAATCCATGTTTCTATACTTTCTTTTTCTATTTGTCTTTGATTTTCTTCTTGTATCTTAACAGTTAAGTTAGATACTTTAGATTTCTTCTAACTTATTTTGAGTATTACTTGGTAGAAGTACTAATAATTGATTTGTTTGTCTTCTTATTATACTTGAGTTCAGTTTCTTCGTAATTTCTTTTATTGCTATTGAGGTTTTGTTTAGTTCTTGTTTCAGGTCTTTAAAGTTTGGTCCTTTGTCTGGATCTTCTTCCCAGGTTATTACAGTAAATATATAGGATAATAGAGATTCTAGTATTCTTCTTTGTTCTCTATTCTGATTATATTCTCGTCTCAATTTTGTTTCAAATTGTTGTTTTGTTGATATTATTTTATCGTTTAAATTTGAAGTAGTTACTAATTGTCCTAATTCTATTCTTGCTTTTATATTATCTATTTCGTCAACTATTTCTGTTAGAAATGTTGTAAATGTTTCTATTTCTTCAAAGGCTGTTTGTGCTTCTGCTAAAGCTTCTATCTGTCTTACTATTGTTTCAAATATTGTTTAATCAATTATGTTCATCTATCTTAGATGATACTTCTGATACCAATTTGCTTGGTTCTGTTTGTCTATCTATTTCTTCAACTACTTTTGTTAGTTGTTTAGATTCTCTTTCTAATGTCATATAGAAGAGGTTACAGACTAATTGTCTTAATGTTCCTGTTGGTAAATCTTTCAGATTTTTATTTAGCTTTTCTTTTAAGCTTTCTTCTGTAATTATTTGAGATTGATAATCTTGAATTGCTCGTTTTATTTCTAATAGTATATTCCAGTATACTACCATTAATTTCAATTTTCTTATCGTATGATAATATTGTCGGTTCTTTGTTTTGATATTGTAAGTGCAATCTTTTTCTTCTTTCTTACAATAGTGACACTGTTTGTCTGTAAGTGATTTCTGACACTTCTTTTTTCTGATATGACAATTATCACAGCTTTTTCTTAAAGATGTATGATCTTGTTTTTCTGCTGGTGTACAGGTTAATCCTTCTCCTGCACAGTTGATACACTTTTTATAATATGGTATCTTTTCACACTTTCTTTTGAGTGTTATACAAGGTTGACAACTTTTCTTTTTCATTCAAATTTGAAGATTTCTTTTATGAATACTTCTTCTTGAGTTTTCTTTACCCTACACTTTTTACAAGTGTATGCGTAATCTAAGAATTGTGGTATTTTGCACAATCTACACTTTTCAAATCTTCTTTCTTTAGGTTTTCTTTTTCTTTCTAAGATTTGTTTTTCTCTATTTCTTGTCTTTCCTTTTTTCTTTGAAATAGTTTCACAGTTCTCGTTTCTTTGAGTACAGTTTCTACAAGTTTGTTCTGGTTTTTCTCTTAGGCACTTTAGGTGTCTTCTTGCACAATTGTTACAACTCTTGTACTGCAATTGCATCCAAATCAAAGATTTGCTTTTCTATTTTCTTTATACACTCTTTATGTCTTTCAAGACAATGTTCACAGTTTTGTATTGTTTCTTGTCGAAGTTTTACTGATTCAAGAAATTCCTGATTTCTTCTTTCAGTTTCTTTTCTGTTAATTGTTATCTTGCAACTTTTACAGATTTTTTCTACTTGATTTACTCTTCTAAATTCGTTACAGATTATACAGTTATCGTATGTTGGTTCTGATTTCTTTCTTGGAAGTTTTTCTTTTTCTCTTGGACTTCTTTCTTTTAATTCTACTTTGCAGAATCTTCCTATTATTATACAGTTATCACAGGATCCTATTCCTTGACTTCTAATACAGTTTTTCTGTTCTATTAAACAGTGTTTACAAGTTTGGTTCATTCACTTCTTCTGGATTATATATTTCTACTAGAGTTGGTGTGAGACTTATTAGTTCGTAATAATATATTCTTCTACTCTTATATTCTGTTGGAATATAATCGTAATTGTCAATTAATTTATCTTCAATTATCTTTGACCAATCGTGATATGTCTTTGCTTCTGAGACTTGTTTTGCTATTTGATTTGTGGTATCTTGATATCCTATAGTCCACTTGAGTTTTATAGCTTCAGTATAATAATTATATCAGTCTTCTTTAGTTATAGTATTAATTGATCTTCTTTGATTAATTAGGTTTCGAATATATATTATGTTCCACTCTCTCC